TCACTGTGCTCTCTTGTGGTGGGGGCTGGGGAGCCTGACTAGTGCCTGCTGGACCACAGCCAACAGCAGTGGGTGCTCTGTGCTTCATTGACTACAAGAGGGATGGTGGCAATCACAGGCGAGAATCACAGAAAGATGTGGCAGATGAAAATTCAGGGCTGATCACTCTATTGCCCGTGCTTCTAGTTTTTGTCTCAGCTGCCACTTCCTCCTTCATTCTTATAGTTTAGCCCATCTCTGTCTCAAAGAGAGGCATATAGTTGGCATCATGAGTTCAATTCATAGGAAATTGGAATCAGTTTAAAGGTGTAACTTAGATGTATTTTTGATTAAGTTCTCTGGACCTCTGCTTTGAACATTTTGAAATGTGAGGAAACAGAATAAAGATGGTTAGGGCATGGGCCTCAGATAGCTAGAATTTAATTGTTAATCCAATTTCTTATCATCTCTGGGCCTTTACATTGCCATCTGAGTTGATCTGTAGTTGGTAGAGAGATCTGCATTGATGTACGGATCGAATAGACAATGTATATTACTTTTGTGATTAATCATGTGATGGATGCATATAAGAAGGGCCAATTATTTTTGGATATTATTATTATTAATTTTAATTAGGCTAAGCTCTATATCATTCAACTAAAATATACTGTGATCAGAATGTTTTGTTTTCTCTGGATCCCTGGAAGATCATTTCATGTTCATTTTTATACATGAAGATATTGAATGCTAGGAAGGAAACCACTCAGTCTCATTCATTTCTGATTCCCCAGAGCCTATATCATGCTTGGCACAGAGAAGGCTACAAACACAACCACAGCAAAGACTCTGTTGAAACATTGAATAGTTCCTTTCTTGGTTCACAGGAACAAAGCTTAGACTGTATGGCTTCTGCTGGTTTAGTACTGCAAGGTAGTCATGGCAAGGCATACAAAAAAGACCTCATTCATTTAGCACTGGAGAATCAGAATTAATAATTATAACATTAGTTAAAATGTTAGAGTCCAAATCTTTAGACTTTAGCCTTTACCTTTAATGAGTGGTCCCAGGAAGGAGATTTGACCAACCCTCGAACTCAGAGGAGGTCCTGGTAACTAGGGCCCCAGGTTTGCTGTGGCGAGCAGTGGCTCAGCGGGCCTGTCAGTCTTTAGAGTCAGAGAGACCTTTTGCTTCTGTCTTCATCTCTGAAAATTAGCAGAAATACATGGGTTTGTAGACCCTGTGTGCTTTCACGTTCAACTATAATTGGTATTTTTATTGCCAGTGACATAATTGTTGTATGATATATTTAGATTTTGTTAGTTTATATTATGTTTGATTGTCAATTAGTGACTTTTTGTCATATTTATATTCTTGTTTACTACATGTTTCAAGGCCAAGTTAATAAATTGAAAATTATGGGAATTGTTTAGTGGCGTACACATATGTGTTTTTAAAGAACATTACAGAAGCAGATGTGATTTGAGGGCATACAGAAAGCATACATGACAAAATTATTCCCACCAAGTTTATGACAGAGCTTGCTTTTAGGGGTCAGGTGTTCAGAGGAATGAGGTCATGCAGGGAGAGTAGGAAAACTTGAGTTTGATTGGCAATATTTTAAACCTCTAAAGTATGATTTATAAAGCAAATACTATTAAATGTGTTTATTTCTAATATGGGGAGTAGCTATTAGTAATAACAGTACATAACATTATTGGAGTATTTACTAAGAGCTTGGCAATAATCTAAAGCAGTGGTTTCCAACTTGGCTGTACTTCAGGATGACCAAGGGAGTCACATGTAGAGCCTGATTTAATGAGTTGTAGGCTGCGGCCTGGAGCCCTGGTGCGCCAGTGGTTAAGAGCTCAGCCGCTAACCAAAAGGCTGGCAGCTCGAATCCACCAGCCACTCCTTGGAAACCCTATGGAGCAGTTCTACTCTGTCCTATAGGGTTGCTATGAGTTGGAATTGACTCAAGAACAATTGGTTTGTTTTTGTTTTTCTAGGCTGTGGCCAGCTCTCATCAGTATATTACAAGAGAGCCATAGATAATTATAATGATCAATTAGCATAGAGAACCACTAGTCTAAGCACTTTATATGTATTATTTAATTTAATATTTTATAACAACTCTAAAAGTGCAGTTCAGTTAAGAGTTATACTTTAACAGATGTACAAACCACCCAGATGCTTGTCATATTATTCTTTCTTAAAGAGAGCAAGATATTTCTTATTGCATATGTTCCCTCATAGCGAGGGCTGATACTTTACCCTCCTATGGATTTGTTATGTTAAAATGTCCTTGTTATTTGAACATTCTTCAGCCCAGTGTCTCTACAGTGGATTTGGATAGAAACAGTTGAATAGCACAGAAACAAATGAGGAAAGAGTTCTGAGAAGAACAAAATTTGGTTTTGCTACTTCTGAGGAATGTTGCTTAAGGTCCTGGGGTATTAGGACCTCAAAGTGTAAACATCTGACTTGCAAATTTCTTTCTTTTTTTTTTTTTGCATTTCAATAACTTCATTGAAAGATATATTCCTTAATATCAAAACTTAATGGTAGTTTGTTAGGTCACCTCTGCGAACTCAAAATTAACAGTGATGTATTCAAAATACTGAAATGTTATCAGCCGTTTGGGAAAACTGAAATGTTATCCACAAAAGATAGTTTACAAAAGTCAAATCTAAGATATACTGTGGTTCTTTGGCTTATTTTTCAGTGCATATTTATCCATAAATATCCGTAACATGATGTCAAAAGTAAATCTGAATTGGTTAAAATCATTCTGGATGGTCTCAGGCTACACAGTGCACTGAGCAACTGTTTACAACACTTTAACGTTGTAGATCTTACGTTCACTGACTTACACGGAAAATCTGAAACACTACCTCAGCTACCTTATAATTATTAAGGTGCCCACTTAACTTTTCTTAAGACTTTATTTTGGCACTGTAGGGCATTTAATGAAAGTATACTCTGTTCCTTTTAAACTGCAATGGCAGTTTTATAAAAACAGTCCTTAGTAAAAACTTTTGGTGTGTTAAATCTAGCCTGAACTTGCTTTAAGGGGGTAAAGCAAGTTTTCAGAGTGGTTTTATTTTGAGTTACTAATAAAAGAGAAACTAGTTTTCTCAACAGGACTAGATCGAGGCAGTAGATTCTATATAAAAATTTTTATCGTGGGTACAAATATTTCCTGTTTTTTAAAAAAAAAAGGAAGATAACTTTATGAGTATCTCATACTTGCCAGGTCTGTATTTTTGCTTTATATAAAATGCCCTGAAACTTAAATGTAATTGCCAGATAGCAATGAAGTCCACATATCTGGATTATGTACTATTTGCATTATGGGTACCAAGAAACCATTTATACTGCCTAGAATAGTAATCCTTGTTATGTCTTAAAAGTGCATTTATGAAGTGTTGGTTTTGATGTAAGCCTCAATGATTTAATAAGCACATTTAAGATGATTTAGTTTAAATTAAGTAGGTTACCACTTCAATATGATGTAAACACACTGATCCAATATAAACATTTAGATCAATGTTAGAAATGAAGATTCACAGTTTACCTTCTCAGGCTTATCATTACAGTTTCACGTTTATGTTCTTAACTTTGATTTGTATGCTTCATGGATGAATTCAAATCTAAATATAATTCCACTATAGCATAATGTTAAGTAGAAAATTTTCCCAAGTCTGAGAACATCAATGCTAATCTAGTCGTGATGTATTGAGGCTTCACAGCTTAAATCCATTATAATACTATGGACTCTGAAGCTTAGGGCTGAAAAAAAAGTCTTCAAAGAATTTTTTGTTGCTGTAATAATCTGAGTAAGGAACTGTTTCAGGAACTGTTGCAAGGTGGGTTATCCTGTAGAAACTATCCTTCAGTTGCCTTGCAGTTCACTCAGAAACAATCCATTTCAACTTCTGGACATTTGGTTTGGAACATTTGTTTGATGAATTTTCAGTTAAACACTTGGGTAGGAGCTCTTGCCAGAAGGCCAAATCTCTGCCATTTATCTTGGAAAGTTTCTGAAGACATTGTACTCCTTCTGTTAATTGTTCACACTTCTGTGCTTGGATCTCCAATGTAATAATAGATAATGCCAACACAGAAGGCTTTGCTTTAGAAAATATGATCCTGTAGTGGCATGCCTTAAGTTGAGCTTCTAGTCGTTCAAAATTAAGGCTGTTAGTCCTTTCAAATGGCAAGTTCTCTTGAATGAGTGAATAGTAGAGTTGCAGAAACTGAAAGCCTGTAGTAGCTTTGACTTTCCAACTCACCTTCTCCAATACAATCTTTTCCATTCTCATCAAGTCTGAAACAGTGAACCTATACTGGCTTATTTGGATCAAGTCATTTGCCAATGATGTTCCTCTCTTCTTCTATTGATTTTAGGGCCAAATAGAGGCAGCTCAGTACAACACACCCAAGGTGCTTGGGCTGTAGCTTCATTTTGCACAGAAACCTGTCCAGTAAATTCACAGCTAGAGAAAATGTTTCCGTGTCAAAGCCAAAGTACTGAGTTAGACTAAGGAAATCTTTTACTTCGAAGTCTCTTAGCCTTGCAGTCATTTTGAGGCCATTATCATGAGGAAACTCAATTAGACTCAAGCCGCAGACTTTTGGCTGACATCTAGACTCCTGCTCCAACAGGGCATTCAGCTGGTGTAGCAGTTTCTGAGCGTCAGTTGTCAGTACCTCTATCATCTTGATCGCCACAGCGGCTCCTCAGCGGTAACTACGGTAACTACCCTCCCCGGTCTGCTCGCATCTCACCGCAAGATATTAGATCCCAGAGGCCTTCGAGGTGAGGGGACTCGCCGGCAGGAGAGGAGCAGACTGGGACGGGGAGCTGTCCAGGGCAGAGGTCTACGCAGCGCCGCCGAGACTGATCAGCCCTCAGTCAGGACCAACTCGGAGCCGCAAATTTCTTGAAGTAAAAATTTAGACACAGTTCTGGGTGCCTGTTTACTTATTTTCTTTTTCACAATCCTTTTTTCTTTCCCCAAAGCTGTCTCATCTACATGGAGCCACAGAATCTAACAAGTGTCTCAGAATTCCTCCTCCTGGGCCTCTCTGAGGACCTGGGACTGCAGCCCCTCCTCTTTGAGCTGTTTCTGACCATGTATCTGGTCACCGTATTCGGGAACCTGCTCATTATCCTGGCCGTCAGCTCTGACCCCCGCCTTCACATCCCCATGTACTTCTTCCTCTCCAGCCTGGCCTTGGCTGACATCGGCTTCATTTCCACCACAGTCCCCAAGATGCTAGTGAATATCCAGACACAGAGCAAATCCATCACATACGAGGGCTGCTTGACACAAGTGTCCTTTTTTTTTCTTTTTGCCTGTTTGGATGTTCTCCTTCTGACTGTGATGGCCTATGACCAGTTTGTGGCCATCTGTCACCCACTTCACTACCTTGTCATCATGAACCCTAGCCTCTGCGGCTCCCTGGTTTTGGTGTCTTTTTTTTTTCAGTCTTTTGGATTCCCAGCTGCACTGTTTGATGGTGTTACAACTCACCTTCTACACGAAAGTGGAAATTCCTCATTTCTTTTGTGACCCTTCTCAACTCCTCAACCTTGCCTGTTCTGACACCTCCACCAAAAACTTACTAGTGTATTTTATTGGTGCCATCTTTGGTGGTATTCCAGTCTCAGGAATAATTTTGTCTTACGCTCGAATTATTTCCTCCATTCTGAGAGTCTCATCATCAGGTGGGAGGTATAAAGCCTTTTCCTCCTGTGGTTCTCACCTGTCAGTTGTTTGCTTATTTTCTGGAACTGGTCTCGGAGCATACCTCAGTTCAGCTGTCTCATCTTCTCCCAGGAAAGGTGCAGTGACCTCAGTGATATACATCGTGGTTGCCCCCATGTTGAACCCCTTTATCTACAGCCTGAGGAACAGGGACATCAAAAGGGCCCTGAGGAATCTCCTCAGCAGAACAGCTTGATTTCAAGTCTTGTACCATCTTTTTTTGGCGTGTGTATTGAAAACACAACTCCCCAAACATCTCAAACTGGAAATCCTACGTTTTGGTCACATAATTTTCGTAGCTTTCATGTTTACATTCCTCTTGATATGTCATATCTCAATATTCCTTATTTTGGCCCCTCTTGAATAGCATTGTGGGAGTATTCTAGATTCCTAATTACGCCATAACCACTGCATAATTGAATTCTCAAAAACCTGTGGAACCTTCTGTATTTGTCATCTATGACCTAAATATCCTAGAGGAATGCACAATTCTTTTTTTATTTTTTTTTTACATATGCAATTCTAAACCCTTTCCACAATCCAGGTTTACTGTCCATAAAGGTCTTGCTTAGATCCGATATATTTCTGCAGGTTATATGAGAGGATGCGTGTCACTGGTCTTCAACCTCAACGTCATACTGGAATCACCTGGTGAGCTTAAAACTCCCAATACTTGGGCCCCACCACTAGAGATTCTGAATTTGTTGGACTGGCATGTGGCATGAGCATGAAGAGTGTAAAAAGCACCCCAAACCCACCAAACCCACTGCTGTCCAGTCAATTCCAACTCAAAGAGACCTATAGGGTTTCCAAGGTTGTAAATCTCTATGGGTCAGACTACCACGCCTTTCTCCCATGGAGCCACTGGTGGTTTCCAACTGTCAGCTTTCTTGTTAGCAGTTGGTCACTTTAACCACTGCACCACCATTGCTCCTTTCAAGCACTCCAGGTGGTTCTAAAGTGCAGCCAGGGTTGAGAATTACTGATCTTTGTCAGGCCTTTCCTTCAAAGATGCCTAGTATGCCTTGGGTTTTTAGTCCTCACACTCAAATGCTGAAGAACGTGAAGTGATCAGAGTTCACAAGGGCGAAGACAAGAAAGAGTTTACCCTAGTAACAGGCAATGTGTGATTTTTCTCTGTAGTCCTGGTATATTTCTTCACATATCTTCTCCCTACACATTATAGAGCTGGTCATATGTGCTGGACATTAAGCCCTTGTCTCTCTATTCTAAACTCACTCTTCTAGACTTTTCTGTAGGATGCCAGGGGTAGGAGGAGAGATAAAAGAGGGAGGGAAATTGTCACAGTGCTGTTCTGATTTCCATTTGGGTTTTATGTGAGGTTCTTACAATAGTGGAAAAAAAAGATCACCATGTCCTAATAAACCCAATCTTTTTCCCTTTTGGCTTTGGAATGGTTGCTACTTCCTGCAGATACTATTTCTATGTTACCACTTTTTTCTGTTATATCTTTCTGTCCTACAATAACTGTGTAACCAATTGCCTATATTCACTTACCTTCATTAAAATCACTACTGTTGTTTCTCTCCTCTTGATCGAACATGGACTGAAAAATAACACCAGAAATAAAGATATGTTGAAAGTTTTCTGTAATTGTAAGACTACAAAACGTGCTCAGGAAAAAAAGTTTTAGATACGTCTTGGTCAAGGGTGTACAATTAAGCATAAGGTGGCGAGTTCATATTTCTAGTTTCTGTGTGGCTTTAATGGTGCTTGAGGATTATTAACTAATACAAATCATTGGGAATAAATTTAACTTCATCTTCTTTTCATTACTCTAGAATAGCAAAGGGTCATGTCCTCAGCAAAGGGCACTCTTATCTTTCACTGGTTACATGCTTCTTGGGATTTCACTTTGTGAACATGCTCCCCTCTCTTCTGTAATGATGGATTTGCCTGGGCTGCCTCCTGTTCTTCATTGTATGGGTGTCCATCTTTCCTTTAAGATGACACACTTCATTTCCGGGCTGTCTAAAATCAGGCCCAATAACCAGTTTGGTTTTACTGCCTTTTACCCCTAGGTTAAACGCCCACCATCTTCACTGACAAGCGACTTTGATCCTCAAAGTGTGTTTTAATATGGATACGTGATGGATGACCTTAGAATTAACTTTTGCACAATGAGACCTTGAGCAGTTTAAGGGCAGGGACTGAATATCATTAATCTCTATACTCAAATCTAGCACAGTGTGGGCAGATACTTGGCACATCTCCACTTTGTATAATGTTGAATAAATTATTTACTTTTCTCTGTAGTCCTGGTATATTTCTTCACATATCTTCTCCCTACACATTATAGAGCTGGTCATATGTGCTGGACATTAAGCCCTTGTCTCTCTATTCTAAACTCACTCTTCTAGACTTTTCTGTAGGATGCCAGGGGTAGGAGGAGAGATAAATGTAAAGGTACAAGAAAATGTAAAGGTATCTTGTCATCCATGCATCCAGTATTTTCCTTCCTCCCTGAATCACCAGGCCTTCTACAGAGATCTCTATGAGCTCGTGACAGAGGAAATGTAAGTTTTTTTTTATTATTATGCACATTCAAGGGGATGTATATTTCCCCACCTATTACCTTGTACAAGGTTAAGAATTAAAGAAAAATGGTGTGTTTTGATAAGTTCTACAAATAACCAAGTGATAAAAAGTAAATTGGATATCTAAAAAGGGAATGCAAAATGGTTGTGATCTTTCTGTTACCTTCAAGGATACTCATCGAGAGAGAAGGAATTGGGAAAAGCACAGTTTACCAAAGAATCATAACTATCTGTGGTTATCATATACCACGTGCTCTAAACACAAGTGCGGCAGTAACCCTACTATCTGAAAACCTCTACCCACTATGAAATGATTTCAGTTTTAATATTACATTTTTGTTATGGCCCAAGAATTCTCAAATGTCTCCACCCTGAGACTCTCCCTTTTCCTCTAAAGACCTGTCTTTTGAGCATCTGGTCTCCCCCAAGTTACCATCTGCCATTTGTGTGTACACACATAAATAGCATTCATTCTTCCATATCCAATTTAATGTGGTATATATTCCAGTTTTCTTCACATCAATTAGTGACAAACCAGTCTCCAAGCTCATCAGCAAAGAGATCTCTGAGCCAAGAGGGCTGCATTAGTAGAAGGTAGAAGGTTACTGTAGTCCATCATTCTTACATACCCCACTTTATCTACTAGAGAGACAGAGAAGCCAAAGGCACATTTTATTAAGACCTCAAGACACAAAGATATCTAAATAAAATGCACTCTAGAGTGAAGTTAAGCCCTCCCTAGTTAAACAGAATTCACAAGCTCCTGGGGTATTTGTTGAAATTGTGCATGGAATGACTGGGACAGGCTAATATCAGTGGAAGGGCTCTACTGGTGTTAGAGAAACCAGAAGGGCTTTTGACTACAAGGCCAGGAGCAGCATGGTGGGTTTTGTAGGAATTCTACGACGTACTTGTTTCTCTCCAGGGATTATTTGCAAAGAGCACAATGGTGAGATGGATTGGCACTATGCTGGAAATCAGAGGGAGCGCTAGAGTCTAGTTGTGCTTAGAGCCAATTGTCCTTATAGAGAGTGAAGCCTGTGTAGTTGTGTAGCTTCTAAGATTCTCCCAATGACCCTCACCTCCTGTATTCATACTCTTGTGGGTAATCATCCCCTTAAATGTGTGCTGGACTCAGTTTATTGCTTCTATCACATAGAATTTGGAAAACTATTGGGATATCACTTCCAACATTGGGGTGTGAAAAGAATCTGGTTTTCATCTTGTCAGCCCCTTCCTGCTCTCTGGCCAGCTCACTCTGATGAAAGCCAGCATCCGTGTTGCCAGCTGTGTGATGGAGTTGCTCATGTGGTCAGAAGTTAAGGGAGGCTTCTGGCCAACAGCCTGCGAGGAACAAATCCTGCCAACTGATATCTGAGTGATCTTGGAGTCGGATCCTCTTCTAGTCAAGCCTTGAGATGACTGTAGCCCTGGGCAACATTTTGAATTCAGCCTTGAGTGAGGCCCACAGACATATTTAGGGGAAGGATCAAGTTATCAAATAGTATGAAAAAATAAATAGTTTTCTAATGTACTAACATACATTAACTACACAGAAATATTAGAACTGGTTCTGTCATTCAACTCAGCAAAAATATATATTGTGAATGCAGAAGACCTCAAATCACATGCAAGGGCTACAGAAAGGAAATTAAGAGTTCTACTTAATGACACAAATATTAATTTAGAAAATGGAAATATTATCAGATTCATGGGATAGAAGATCTGTTGTTTATTTGTTAGGTGCTGTCGAGTCGATTTCGACTCATAGTGACTTCATATGACAGTAAAACTACTCCATGGAGTTTTCTAGGCCATAATCTTTATGGGAGCACTTGGCCAGGACTTTCTCCCATGGAGGGGCTAAATGGGTTCCAATCACCAACCTTTCAGTTAGCAGTCGACCGCTTTAACCACTGCACCACTAGGAATTCATAGAATATTTATCCTCCCTAAATTACATGATTCCTTCAATGGACTGAGGATATTAAATCACATGCTGATTTTTTAAACTGAAACATTGAAAAAAAGTGTCTGATTTTTATGTTAAGATCCATACAACTTAGAAGTTAGAGGTGAGGAATACAGGTGAGTTTTCTCCTTAGAATGGGAGGGCCCAGATACCAGGGATTCACTTTCTTCTCCTCCTGTTTCATTAATATTAACAAATCTTCAGAGATTGGAATACCATGAGCCAATATGGCTAAGGGTTTGCTCTGGGCATTGAGTTCTCAAGGCCATGTACCTATAAATAACTCATCTGTGCCCCCATTGCCTTCAGTTTGCCCATCCCAGCCCAGTGAGCTCCATAGCCTTCTCTCTCCTCTAGAGTGGTTGTCTGCCTCAGGAAGTCCATGCCTGTGTCTCTCTTCCAGACAGTGCTTAAGAAGGTACCTCAGCCCTCAGGTCCACCGCAGGGGAGGGGTGGTGGACCCACACTCCTTGGTCATGCCACAGCAGAGACCCAGCGCAATCCAGTGAGTATGGTGGGAGACAATGGACACAGAGGGGCTGGGGAGCATTGTTTCCTCCTCATCAGGACACTCAGCACACTTGGATGGCCAGATGGGGAGGCTCTGAAATGCTAAGTTTCAGCTCAGAAACCTGTGAAATTTTTGTTCCTGGTTCTGGTAGAGGT